GTGTGCAGCTCAACGTAAATTCAGCTTATAAACTGCACTAAGCAGTAGACAGGTTGTTTCAAAAATACTGTGCTGGTCACATTAATAAGAGAAAAAGTTATGTACCGCTTTTTTGTCATTATAGCTCATGTTGATTGTTCTCTTGATGTCTTCACTTATTTCTCTGCAATGACGTAGTGATTGTTGCCCATTTTGGTTTTGTTTGATTTCCGTCACTTAAGACATTGATTGCTAGTTAGATGCGTCTTTTCAACCGAACATCATGATATTTTGATTCTTCAAGTAATAATTCCTCATTACTTTATTTTCTTCGCTGCTATATGCCGATTGCCAGTCAGATTACCCTTAGCGAGTTCGTTTCTTCATTGCCGTTCACGTGTCTCATCAGCATTATGTGTGTGACGCATTTTGTTCTGCGTTATTCGTAGCTGTTTAGGTAATGTGACGTATTTCTTACGAATGATCTACCATTGCTGCTTATTTCATTGCCTCAAGAGCCGATGCGCGAAATTTAAGTCTAAGTCTTCTAATATACAGATTTTATTATATGTATAGATTCTAATTATTGTCAAGGCCGCAAGAGTTTTTCCTTAATATTTTTTTCATATGCTTTGGCTGAGAAATGTGTTGCTATCGGTGTTTTCTGTGAATTTCGTCGCGAACCGTTAACACGGGCTCTTCCAAATGTGATATAGCTATACTGTGAACAATGTGAGAGTTTTATTGTAAGCACTATATCTAAGATGATTTTATTCAAGTCACAAGGCGGTTTTGCTGATCTATTATGTTAGCAGTGAACAAAGTATTTTTATTTATATGTTGAGCAATTAATACGTTATAATAGATTGATTAATCTAAATAGTGCACGGAGTAAAATAGCAGGAAGAAAAAAAGGTTACAACAAGAGGTGGGGGCTGTTTGAGCAAGATAAAGACATACTGAAATGCCGGAGGATCATCAAAGTACCAAGAATATTGTTCCTACTTTAGTTCTGAACTGCAATTACCTAATTTGAAAGCTGTCTGTTGAGGCTAATACGCTTTGACAATCTAATTAGTGGAATCTCAAAGTCAGCAATATGTTACCACATTCTCCCAGGCAACACTGTCTCATATCAATTACACGTCTTTGTTTGAAGCATGATTAAGTAGCAGTTGTGAAACGTCTAGATCAACATCCTTAATTGAAGTGAGCAGTTATAACTAATATGTATAGCTCAGATATAAGAATAGAGCTAGATTAATAACAATAACAAGAAACGGCAGTTCATCATTTTGAGCACTGGAAAAACTTAACAAAGCTGGCAACTTTTTGCGCATTTAATACTCATATAATCCTTAAAAATTTGTTGAGTACACATACCACTGTTTGCCCATCGTTCACACCACGTTCTAAAATTGTCTTG